TCTACCTGTGTTTCTCATCCCAAGCTTCTTTAAGATGAAGGGCCTTCACCCCCCAAAATTCCCCGGCCAGCAGGGGGACTTCAATTCTGGGTGTTGAAGTCCACGCATCTTAAAGTTGCTGAGGTTGAGAAACACTGCTATATTCTAGACTCCACAACATTGTTCTCTATTGCTACTTACTGTGCATTGATGTTTTGTTCTTACAGAGCCTGTTCTGTCTTTTTTTCTCCCTTTGGGATTTCTCCCTTTTTTTCTTCTCTGTTGTTGCTTTTCACAGCCAGTGGGTAGAATTCTTGCGCTTATCCAACTTGTGTTTTTCCTTGCTGGGACTCCTTTTTTTTATTCTGGACCAACCCCTCCCTCTGAAGGAAAACCACCTTCTTTCTTTTTGCTGTTGGACATCTCTGTTCACTGGTGGCTGCAGAGCTCCAAAAACAATGTGTCTCCTCTTCCCTAGACCTGTGTCAGTGTTGCTGTTTTATTGGTGATTCTGCCATGGTGATGTTTGGGGAAAGGCTGGGGAAGGGAAAGGAAGGAGCAGATGCCTGCAAGCAGCCTGGTCTTCCATACCTTCCCACCAAAGATTTCTCAAATTTGCATAGTGGAAGAATGAGTTTCAATTCAAAGCATTCTCTTTTGGATGGTCTCAACATTCAGAGCATTTACCTGGAATGATAGCCCATGTGGGACACCGAAGGATACAGAGTGTTCACACTGATGCGTATCTGCATGATCTGCTTGATAGGACAAGGACAGAACCAGGCACAACCTCCAATTAATGCTTTGATGCCTCCAGGAGCAGTTTCATGGTGAACTGTGCCAAGAGCGTGCTCATGGGGTCTTCATAAATAGCCCACATGACTAATGACAATGGTGGAAAAACATCTAAAATGCCGCAGCTAGGCTGTCAGTGCTGTCTCAAGGAGAATGAGCTCTACACCTAGAAATTTTTCCATTGATTTCAGCAAAATGGGTCCCCCTTAATCTGTTCATCACAGGTTGACAGACAAGTGAGTTGCTTCTCTTAGTTGCAAGACAACACAACAAAGGGATTGAAGCCTGGTAGCACTGTAGCTGAAGAACAACTCTGCTTTCCCACCACTCTGCTTTCCCAACATGACGCAAGGGATGGGCAATTTTAAGTGTTCCATTCTGGGCCATGAGTCCATGGTTCTTGGCCTTAGAGTGAATAAGGAGCTCTTGTGGCCTCTTCTGAAACCCCCCATTCTCCTGTCCCAAGGCCCAATTGGATTTCTGAACTCAGCCTGACCTAGCTTTACACCTGGAAATTGAACAGGGACTTCCATTGAGTTCCATCCTTCCAAGTCCAGCTGTTTCTTACTCCCCAAGTGTGCCAGAGC